ACTTTAACATAAAGATTTTCTTTTTTCTGGGTGAGCGTATCTGCAGATTGGTTTTCTTCTACCACTTGCAGTTAGTAGATGTTATGTACCGTGAGATGACTAACATGCAACATGTGAGTAAGAACCTTCAATTATCTCTTTTTAAAACTATGTTTAGCTGAACAACCGTACAGCTTCCTGGCATTAGTGCTTCATTGTTGGTATCTGTTTTGTTTGGGTGGTAAACCATAGCATGTTCAAACAGTGTGCATGCATTAAAAAAAAAATTTACACATAAGTTGTAAGAAAAAAAAGGAACCTTTTAATTGCATTTTAATTACTATTAGGTACAATTACCATTTCTCCAGAAAGTGGGAAAATTAACTGAGTGAAAAGTGCAAAACTAGGTGTACATTTAGCAAAATGTCTATTACTGCATTGATTCTTTTATATATGTTTTTTGGGTTTTTTTTGAAGTGCAGGTAAATTGTAGCATAGTTGGCTCTCATGTTTATATAGATTCCTTCTAAATTTAACATTCTTTTTGAGACGCTTCGTGGTCAGTCATAATGTCATATATATGGGACATGCATTTAACACATCCAGTAAGAAGCAGGAATCCTCCATGAAATGGAATGTACATATTCTTATTGGAAGGATTGTGATAATTTCCACAAGTAAGAGCATACACTTATTGGAAACTTGAAATGACCATTAATGTTATTGAAACTCCTTCGAGAATTTGAAAGCTCTTTTCCTATGAAAATTAATGGGAGGTAGGCATCCCAGGTAACCTAAAGATCTTGTAAATCCTCAACCTATATGGTCAGTGAAAAGTATTAGAGTAAATAAAAGAGAGATCAAAGAAAGGACATATAAATTGTGTGGCTTGTTCTTTGTTGTTCTAGGAATACCATAGAGGTTTTTTTCATTCAGTATATTTTTGTATCTTTGAAATCACAAAAGAAACAGGTAGGGATAAGAAATGTTCAAAACTTCAAGAAATCAAAATACAAACATTTTCCAATTTTTCAAGGCTTAAAGACCTTGAATCATGACAATGCTGTTCAAGAATGTTGACAGATATGGAAATAAATTATTCTTTTCTCATTTGTGTTACCTTAACACATGGAAAGTTTCCTGGCTTAAATGCTCAGTACAGAATTATTGCCCTAACTCTAAGAATATCAAGAATTGCAGCCACTTTGCAACCACTATAAAACCAAGGACCAAAACTACATGTAAGGTACAGGTGTTACTAATGGGAGATGAAAGAAGAGAAGTAAACTTTGATCTCTGTCATGTCCTGAATAAATTTGTGCCCTACTCGTACCCTTAAATTCTTAAAACATGGAAGTGATCATTTAAGATAGTAGTACATGATTTTGTAACATACTTCAAATCGTAGTTTTCCATGAGTAAATGAAACTTTTTTTTTAAATAATTCTTCTTGACTGACTAACTACTGGTGCACAAAAATAACTTTTCTGGATGTTTTTGAAAAGTGTACTTGGACAGAATTCCTTCTAAAGTCAATGACACTTGTGCCTAAATGCAGAATGTGGGAACATGCCCAGGAAGAGCATTCTATGCTCAGAAAGCATGTGTCTTTATATTCTGCCATTAGTCCAAATACAAAGTCTGGCACTGCATTTCATGACACGTGCTGCTCCACTAGTTCTGTCTAGAAACAAGCTCTTCTCTGTGTAAAATATTTTTAGTCTTTCAAGTCAGAATAACAAACAACACGAGGAAAAATAATTTTCTTTGAAAACTTCTTGAATTGATAATGGTAAATTTACACAAATTCTGACATATGCCCTTTAAAACTTGTGCATCTACTGTTTTTATTTTCATTATACATTACAAGTTATATCCGTAATGTTTAAAAATGTTCTATTCCAGCAAGAATATGGCTTTTAACCAAATAAAAATGTAAAGCCAACTTGCTCTAAAATCCATCTGTTTTTCATTTTCTTATAATCTATAATCAGGAAATCCATTCATACATGACGTATAATTTTTACGCTTTCAAGTGGATAGTGGAATGCAATGTTCTGCATACAGTCACATCTAAATTGATAATTGTCCAGGCAGAGTATAATTTTAAAGTATAGGATGAAGGAAGGCTTAATTTGTATATTAGAAGTCTTATACATTTTTTTGCCTCTGAATGTAAATGAGGCCATTCTCTTCAGTGGGTTTATCTGAAGGTGGGACAGCTGCCTCAGAGCAGGCCACAGCTTTCTGAGTAAAGAGGATACGGTTTAAAGAGCTGGTTTAAATGCAGACTCTTCTTAACTGTAAACCACATGCATGCATTCATCACTGATTTTCAAATGACGGGTTTCAGTATCATTGGTTTAAGGTCCACAGTCTTACATTCCTTCATCCACATTATACCAAAAGAATAACAATTTGGTGGCTGGAAAGAGGAATGGTTATTATATGGCTCCAAAATGCTAGCTGGCATAATATGCCATGAACAGCAGAAATCTACTGGTAAAGACAAGATTGCAGTAGTTCTTAAAAATAATTTGATGTTCTAAAAATATAAATGTAAGAAATGTTATCACTGTTCAAAATATTTTACATTAGTAGGTAAATAATATGAAGGTCAGACGAAAGTTTCTGAAGAGTAAAGTTTTATACAGATGCATTCTTTCTCTTAATTTTTAATAGTAAATTATATTAAGTAAATCTTATGTAGAAAATGGGAGTTCTTGTAGGGGTTTCTATTCTCTGAAAATTGCAACTATAGAAACAAGCATATAGATTGTAGTGCATGCTGTTTCATTAAATATCTTAGGTTGTATATTGTAGAACTAAAAAGAAAACACACTGCTGCTTCAAACAGCATCATTTTCACTCTCTGAACAAGTGCTTGTCATAGAACAGATTTCACAGGGCAGTTTTACTTCCTGTTGGTAAAATAGCTCCTATATGAAACCAGCACCAGAGAAACTCTACTTTTGCTTCAGTTTTTTCTGTTCACAACTTCTCCACGTCATTAGTTTTTCAGTATTAGGTTTGTAAAATACCAACTTTTTAAAGGCACTGTACTTTCTAGAAGAAAATATTATTGTATATTCAAAATGCCCCTTCTAATTTCACCGCCTCTAGTAACACATAGCATTAATTAGAGCATAACATATAGCAAACTCATGTTGAGAGCAATTGTTCATTTGAAAAAAAGCCTACTGACACAAAATGGAAAATTCTTGACAGTTTTCTGCTATTTTAGCATGATAAGTGTAAAATACACTTTTTTTCATTAAGTCATTTTATCTCACTAACTGTAAAATATTATTAAGGAAATAAACAAGATTAACTATGAAAAATATTTTAATACAAAATCTCAGAAGTGATCTGAGTGCTTCTAAGTTTTCATCTTAATTCCTTTTTGCAAAGGCTTGGGAGATCATGATAATAAAAAGCATGAGAATAAACAAGCCAGGCCAGACCTATGACTAAAGGTACCTCACAAATATGGAAGTTAAGCACTTTGTGATACTTTTCCTGTGTCCTAAGCCTAGTGTTCACAGTTCAGGGTCTTCCAGACTTTGAAGTGGTGTTTTTGTATTTACTAGCCTTTGACGGACTTTTTTTTTCCCATGGATTTGCTGATCTGATAAATACAATTAACTGATGTGCTCACAGATTAAAAACATAATATAATGTTAGTCGTGCTTGGACACACTTCATTATCCTAACTAGAAGATAGATTCACTCTCATGTACTGTCATTTTATGCCCACCTCATAGACTTTATCAAATTTAGTTCCATAATCCATTTATGTCCTTTAGGGCTGCAAACCCCATTTCATGTGTGGAAAAAAGTGAGATATTGAGTTCTTCACTGACTTTGGGACTATGAAAGAAATTTGAAGGTCCAGTGCTACTAACTCATAGGGCTCTGCCACACTCACCAGCTCATCTTCCCACACTGTTTCTAGGTTGTGTGTCGCAGCTTGTGAGCTGTGAACAAAAGATGAGCTCAGAACAGAAAATCTCCCCTAGCATTTGTTTTCTTGCTATTTATCGATGAAAGTTTTCTCTTTCTGTACTAGTTTTCATGCTATTCCCTCTCTATGACCAGGCAGTTTCTGTGTCTCTCTTGAGCCTGTGCAGACAGAATTTCAAGGCTACACTAAAAAGTCATCTCTTTCCCCAGACATTGTGTGGGTAAGAGGTGAAATGAGGCGGATGAAATAGGAAGGTTTCATTTTTAGTGGAATGGTAGGTCCATAACCTTATGGATATACAGTTGTCAGTACTACATGGTGAGAGAGGAAATCCTTTTCTGAAAATGGCAGATGAAGCATTAGCCTGTCAGAATTGTTCCTGGTGCCTGCAGAAAGCAGCAGAGAGATGAAGATGAAAGATACGGTGGTATTTTACAAATAAGGTTATGCTTTTGCTCCCATTGACTTTAGTGTTGACAGAATCGGGTCCAAAAAGTGTGGTGAAAGAGAGCCAAAAACATTAAGAATCTTCCTAGTCCTCCCCCTGCCTTTTCTGGAAATTATAGCCTTGCTATACTCATCCTTTGTTTAAAAACAAAACAAAATCATGACCTGGAAAAGGCTGAGTCAGGCAAGGCAGAATCCTCTGTAGCTGTTGAGAAAACACAACATAGCTTTGGCATCTTTTTAAGCCATAAGATTGTCTGACCTTCTTGATTCTCTTGTAAGGCAAACGTTACATCTTGGCTGCTTTGAGTGCCCAGTATATTGTGCTATATACCATAGTACTGTAAACAGAGTCATATAATGAAGTTAATTTCAGCACATCACAGAGGTGTTGGCAGCCATGAGAGAAAGGGGTTTAAGATGACTTGTTCCAAATATACAATGTGTTGTATTTTCCTATAAAAATACATTACATGATGCAGGTATTTACCTTGAATTTTTTTATTTGACATTTTTAGTGTTCAGTCTTCAGAAATACATTGGAGTTTATAATCATTCTCTCTCTTTTTTCTTTTCTTTTTTTCCTTTTCCTTTTTTCTTACCTAAACAGGAAATGGATATGGCAACCCCCGCAACTCACCAGGTCTGCTGGTCTCACCTGGCAACTTGAACAAGAATATGCAAGCAAAATCTCCACCTCCAATGAATTTGGGAATGAACAACCGCAAACCAGATCTCCGTGTGCTTATTCCACCTGGCAGCAAGAATACAATGCCATCGGTGGTAATGCATTTTCAAAGCTTTTTTTGTCTCCTTCAGATAAGAGAGATTTAGGAATTTCAAGGGCTGCTCAAGCAACTAAAATCAGCAGAATAACATTCCACATTCTTGCTTGTTTGGTCTTTCTGTCTAACCTTAAGGTTTGACATCAAGCTGAGGATGTAGGCAGAGCCTATTCGATTGCTTTTATGAAGTCATATTTACTTCCTCCCTTTTTTCTACTGAGTTGCAAAATAGGAACTGTGTCCTGCACAGTCTAAACTTCTGCACTCTCTTTCCTAGTAGCTGGAAGAGCCTTTCCTGGATTTGTTATAAAAGCTGAATTTATCCCTGAGTATTCCTAACCTACTATGTTTTTCTTAATTATTTAGCCACACAGACTCTGAGCAGATGACAGATTAACTACAAATAAATTAATTTGAACTGTATCACTCTGAGCTCCAAAGGCCAAATTTTGTAATCATAAAAGGTAGCAAATTGATAGAGTCAGATAAAAAAACAGGATGAAACTGCCAGGATCTGCCAGCAGCATCTCCTGCCAGGATTAATGAAATTTAGGCGGGCTATTATGCTAGAAGGTTGAATCGTGAAGGTGTTGTGTGCGTATCTTGCAGTTCCCTTCCAGAAGTTGGTTAGTGGTTACAAGTAAATCTTTCATGAGTGATTTAACATTAAAAGTGAGTTTAATTTAAAAAGGTTCTTGATGGTAAATTTAAGTGACACTCTAAGCACATTTTTCCATTATGTAACAGACACTATTAAAACAACTTCCAAGTTGGCTACTTCAGCTTGACGCGTAATAAATTAACTTCGAATATCACACTAAAACCCTCCATAAATGTGATGCTGCCTTCTGAGAGGATAAGTAACAGATAGTCTCCTACAGGGCAATGCTCAAAGTCAACCAAGGCAGTGACAAGCTGTCTGCATCAAATGATTTATTCCAAGGTTCTTAAAACTGATACTTTCTAAGGGATTCTGTGAATGGTTAGGTCTCCTGAAACCAGGTATAGCAACACAGTCTGCAGCCACTGGGACTGTGGAAGAAATAATGAATTCTTAGAGAAAGTCTTGTTCTGAAAGCTGGATAGGTTGTCCTCGCAGTTGAAACAAACATCCCATTAGAAGGACAAAGAGGAGATCTACGAAGTGTTATTTTTCCAAACTATGCTCAGAAAGTGTTTAATTTGCTGCCTCTATCAGGTGAAAATATTCCCTAAGCTAGAAATCTGCATCCTGGTAAATATTTATATTCACTAATTTTTAATGCTCCTTTCCTATGCACTCAGTCTGAGGATGTTGATCTGCTTCTGGTAAGTGGTAGTGATGTTCATCTTGATAACAAGGAAAAGAAAATCAGTTCTTTTGTATGATTGATACTTGTGTAGGTGAAGTGTTGTTGAAATAAAATGGAAAACTTTACCATAACTATTTTGTGAACAAAAAGGTCATCATAATTTTTAATTTAGCAATATCGAAGGCCAGGTGCAGTTGTTGCATATATTCAAATTATGTATGCTAGAATAAAGCTTTCTCATTGATGGTGCTTTGAGAGCGTATAAACTTGTGCTGTTGACAATGGCACAGCCTTATGACATTTTTTTGGTGGCTCTCTGGTCTTTTTATCCTGCCGCTCACAGGATTAGAGTTCTCTAGTGCAATTTTTACAGTGCAACATCTAGTGCCGCGGAGTTAAAGATAAGCTACCTAACCTGCTGTGCTACCTAACACTCTTGAAGTTTGTTTTATTGCACAAAAACGAAGTAGTCAGAGCACCATCTGCTGGTAAGAGCTCAGTGTTCAGCAATCTCGGGGTGCCCCTCACTTTCAAAGCATAAAATCCGGTAGGGCTGGGTCTGGGGGGGTTTCTTTTGCCTTTTTTTTTTGTTTTTTTTCTCATTTGAGTGAAAAGGAAAACGATGGGAATATAGTTTATGTATTTCATTAGTTTTTCACAAGATCTGTTCTTCTCCCCACAATAAAAGCAATCTTACTTGTTACTAGTTCAGTTACCTAGGAGATACTGATGTAATGGGTTACTATGGTGACAACTGGTCTCTTGAAGTCTTGTAAATGATAGGGTTGGCAGAGTTCATAAAAGCCACATGTTAATGATTAATTTTCTAGAAATTTGTATCAGCCTGTATTTCTCGTGCACAAAACATACCCAGAAAGCTACTACACTCAACTGACTTAAAACTAGTCAATAATATGTTTATTTTACTTACTTTAAAAGAATCAGAGGATAAATAACTCCCAGTCTGCTCAGTCATTGGCTAATCCAGTGGTTTCCGTAGCAACTCCTACTCTACCAGGGCAAGGGATGGGAGGATACCCATCAGCCATCTCAACAACATATGGTACTGGTAAGTATGGGTGCAAGATGTAAAGGGTGGGGGAGGGAGCAAGATGCTGACAAATGTCTATCTCAGTACAAAATAATTAGCTAATGTTCGTTGGGAGAAACTGAAAAATTCATAGCTGATATGCTTTTGCACTGCATTTACTTATTCTATGTCTGTCACTAACTTGAGACATATCTATTTAAAAGTTAGCTATTTTGTTCAAATGGAAAACTGCTTTGATAGCTTTATTTCATTGACTTTAATAAAAAATGTAACTTAAAAGACATTTCTTAGTCCACTAATATCATAGGCAATTTAATGTAGTTGAGTGCACTTTCCTAAAGTCATAAGGGTAGTAGGAGCAAGCAGCTTCACTGGCTTCAAAACAGAGTTCTATAACTTTGTGGGCTATCACATAGTTACCTGGGAGTGACTAGAAATGAAGCCTCAAGACATCCTTTCCAGTTCCCATTTCACATTGCTGCTGTATAGAGCATGCTAGCAAACAGATCCAATGCTCTTAGAGAAGTTATGCATTGTTCAGATATAGGCTGCCTGCTGGGTTCTGCAAGGAAGACTGTCACCAAAATATTATTGTGTTTTTCAAGTCTTTGACTCTGTGAGAATGCATCTGTAGTTATGGTGGGTATACAGGCTAAAAATGCTTTGGATCTTCCCGATCCAGAAAAACCCTGCTAAATTGCAGAATAATTATTAGTGCATTATTTGCTCCCAAGTTAATGAGTTGAGAGAAGAGGAAGGTCTACTTTTTCTGCTGCAACTTAATGTGATTAGTGTAATTAAAATTAAAAGGCTGATAAAGTGACATGAAAATTACAATGCTAGTTATTGTTTAATTGCTTCCTCTTTAATTCTCTTTTAATTATTGTCTTTTCTGTTTTCAAATCTAGAATATTCTCTGAGTAGTGCAGATATATCATCTCTCTCTGGGTTTAATACAGCCAGTGCTCTTCATCTTGGTTCTGTGACTGGCTGGCAACAGCAACACCTACATAACATGCCACCATCTGCCCTCAGTCAATTGGGGTAAGCAGTGTTTTCTTTGTTTTATCATTCTACAGTGACTTCAGTCTCCTCAGTAATCCCAAATCTGAAATACATCAAGACAACATATCAGCACATATTTACAATGTCTAAGAAAGACCTCCATTTCCCCAAACTGGAACTATGTATTTCATGAAAAGTTTGCTAGGTAGCTACAATGAAATATTCTGTGTCCATGACATTTTCTCAGTAGTGTAGTAAAGACTACTGTTCATGTTTTACTCTTTATTTCTTTAAATAGCACTTTATTTCACTATTAAAGACCAAACTAAACACTTATATTATGCAGTTGCTGTGTTTTGCCATTTATGCTTTTTATTTCCAGTTACTATAGCACAAACATTTACAGTAAACTTGAAAATTTTCTAAATATTTTTAACCAAGTAAGAGTGGCATAATGATTTGACCTGAGATTAAGCCTTAACCTTGTATAATAATTATATACTCCCTTCTGCTCAGTTCTAACATTCAAGTTTCATTTCTTTGGAAATGTTTTCTACAAGCAAATAACATAATTAGGCCTAAGAACCATAAGCCCACAAAACTCTTTGTGATTTGCCTGTGTTGAGGAGGATAGGTATTCGTGCCCTCTAGTGGCTAATTTCAAGACATATAATCAAGATTGGTGAAGCACACTGCTAAATCATTTCAGGATTTTTAAAAGTGTGAAAATTCACACAGGGAAGTTGCTTGAAAAAGCAACTTATTGGCTCATTGAAGTGAACTTTAAGAGTATGATTTTCAAAAATCCTGGTATCTGCAGTTTCTGTTGAGTAAGACTGTAGGCATTCACCAGCACACCACATGTAGCCTAAGGTATGGCTAGACATGTTTGAATTTTAAAAGTTTACATTATAAAAATAGAAGCTGAAAACAGCTGGAGTGTATTTATGGTGAGAAATTTAATTCACATGCATTTGAAAAGTAAACTCCTTTTTTTTTTCCCCAGAAAGAGCTGTTGCACATATGCACTAATTTCTTTGCAAGATGGTTGCCATAATATGAAACTATTTAATACTATAAATGTGGCTTAAACTTCAAAATTCTCCTTCTAATTTATCTGACCACTCTTTGTAATTTACTGTAATTTCTTTACCATGTATAGATGGTTTGGGTTTTTAAAGGACAGCTAGACAAGTGTTTCAGAGGAATCAAAAAATTTTTAAACTTCATTTCTATATAAAAAAGCATATATAGATACTAACGACATAAAAACATACAACTGAAATAGTTGCTGTACTAGAAAAAATAGTCTTAATACCTTTCTCTTACGCTTCTTCTATTTTCTTTTTGAGTTTGCACTGTTTCTGGGGCAATATTCAGGCTAACTGTACAACTAAAGACATAAAGTCTCCAATAAATTGAAAACTCACGTTAGATGTCAATGTATAGCCTTACAATAAGATGATTGTCTTCAGTGGTGTACCAAAGAATGTAATAAGGCTATTTGGTTAACCAAAAGAGTACAAATTAAATCCTAAACTAACTACATGCCTTTTCAGATATGTCACACATCGTCATCTGTTTCTAATTCATATCACAGAATGTCAAAGTGTAATGGCTGTGGCTGGTGGAATACCTTCTGAGTTGCTACTTTTATTATTATTCTTTCAGTGATTTGTAAATGAATTCAGCTATGAAAGCTGCTTCACTGACAGTTCTGGAGAAGCCTTCTATCTCTGCAGAAAATCATAAGCATTTCTTTATTTTATTTTAGTCACTGAGTTCTACATGCAAAAGCACCTGTGCTAACCTTTGGATTATTTGAAAAACTTGAAATTGTAGAGAACGTATTCAGTCCATGTCAACCTGAGCTAGAATTTGCAAGAATATTAAAACAATCACACAAAATTTTGGTCATCCCCAGGTATTTGAGAAAATACATCTAGAAAGGGTTTGACAACCCAAATCGCTGCACTGAGTGAGGTCATATACTGGAAAGATTTGGCAACTGTGAGATGTTCGTTGGTAACACTAGGGTGTAAAGACCTGTGAGAAAACAGAGTTACTGGAAGAGACATCCTAGTTTTCCAGCAGGTTGTGTTTTTCACCGAAGCCTAAAGGTGAAAACCAGCTCTGCTTCCTCAATGTGTGGCAGAAGAATATGGTTAGTAATAGAATAGGATATGGTTAGACATATTAGCTTGCTCCGGATAAGTCACCAACAATTTCAGCAGCACTGTCAGAGCCATAGTTAAGATAATTGGAGAAGATCTCTACAACCTAACTCTTAACTCTTCATGTTGACTCTGCAACAATACTAGTGCCAGTGGGCTTGAGGGCAAATACCTGAGGTCATGGGAGTAGCTCACTTTCCCTGTCTGCACAGCTTTTGGCCTTTTGCTGAGACTGGTGAATACGATAACAATCTAGAGCCTGTTTTGATATGATTGGGACATTAAAACAAGTCAGACTTTTCAACTTTTTAGGTTAAAAAGCAAAATTGTACTTTCATGGTCTTTTAACTAGGTCCACATCTGGAAAAAATACACACAAATTCTATTGAAAATCAGTCCTTCCCAAAACTTTGGGATTTTGTCTGAATATTGCTGCAATGTCTCTTACAAACAGGGTTACTACTTATTTCACATGGACCAAAGAGTCTATCAGAAGTTAATTCCTGCTAAGCAGAAGGGAAGTCCATTCCAAACTTTGAAATAAATGATTTAAATTTTTTAGGCAGAAGTCCATTATGTGGAAAATGTCCTCTCTCATCCATATTTCCCAGTCTAAGAATCTTTTCTTCCTTAAGTATCATCCACAGGTGAAATTTTGACTTTTCTAAAATATAAGTGCAAACATAGGAACAGTATTTCATCTGAAGAATCTTCAGTATAGATAATTGTTTACATAAAAGAAGTTCTCCAAACTTATACCCACCTGAACAAAAAATTGCCCAAATTCATGCATACTGTTGACTTGTTCTCTGATTCTTACATAGCAAGCTTATTACTTAACAGCGATTAATTTTGATTAGGTAATAGCCATAGCTAGATACAGGCAAATATTCTCCATTGAACCACTTTTACTGAAACATTTAGGTGCAGTGACATCATGTCCCATGATTTTGTATCAGTTCTGCCAACTTCCTTGTTTTGAATAAAAGCTTTATATATTTAGGATTGAGCCTTTTTTCTTACGCCACCATTGTAAATAAGATGTTCCAGTGATTCAGTTTCATATTATTCTTCGTTTAGAAATTTCTTTTTAAAGTGTAGACCTTAACGTGTGAGAGCTAATCAAAATATCTTCACACAGAAATCCTCATTCTGCTTTTACATTGATCAAAAAATACAAAAAAACCCCCTTTGCTTTTACCTAAAAGAAAAACAGAGAGGGAGGAAGGTTGCATTGCTAGCAAGTCAAAAAATATCCTCTATTCTCCTAATTACAGACTAGCACATAACTAAAGCTACATAACTAAATTTTGCAGTGAATTCTCAATGGTTCCTTATATGTGTTTATGGGGAAAAAAATATATGAAGTGAGGAAGTAAACTAATTTAGAGAAGCAAGTGTGGGCATAAAAGAAAAGGTATGTGAGGCTCTTTCTTCCTTCAGTAGACTACTTTCTCCCTCTGTAAAAACCTATCTGGTGCATGTTCATGTCCTCACTCATCACCTCCTCAGACGTGCACTTCTCTCTGTGCATGCTGAGCTTCCATATCAGTTGGAGATTCGAATAGATGGAGACACACACAGAACTGATCTCACCAGCATCAGCAAGAACTAAACCCACCTGCAAGCTCGTTGCATGCTGACTTGCTGCCCACCTTTTGCACAGCAGAGCTGTGTAGTTGTTCCGTGTTGAACCCAGATAGGAACCTGCATTTCTCCCATGTGGGTGTTGTATTCTAAATCAACATCATATTTTCACTCTACTGGTCTCAATAGGAACTGCTGTGTAAAATTAAAACATTAATTTTCTTCGTTGTCTCCATAAAATGAAATTTTTTCATACAATATATGGAAAAAGGTGATGATGTCAACATGAGTGGACTGCATGGCACTGACTGAGTGCTTAGAATTATACACAAGCCTTTGAAGTCATTTGCTTTATTTTCTCTGTGGATTTTCCATATTCAAAACCTGTTGGTTTTCCAGTGAACTTAGTGTAGGTTTCAAAAGATGAAAATACGGCATGCCTGGACCAAAATTAATTATATAATTCATATATAATTATATGAAGCAACAGTGTAAAATATACATTGATACATATAGATCCCAACAGCTATTTCTACACTCACACAAACACATACACAAAAAGAAATCATTTTGTAGCAGACAGAATTCTCATTTTTTGTAATACAGCTTGTATTCTAAATAGGAGTCAGTCCCCTGTTTACAATATGGGTCTAAAGACTGCACCCAAGTATTCACCATTCACATCTATGTGTAACAGTAGGTTTCCCTTGTAATTGACCATTTTAGCATACATGAGATTCTGGTTGAAATGTTTCAGAAAATTTTAATGAAATAATGTAAATTATAGTCACCAAAAAACAGATATTAAAATTCAGAAATAGTTTAGCAGAAAAAGACTATATTTTAAAAGGGAAAAAAAGTGAATGAGGACTCAAAAGAATTGCTTTAATTTATTTATATTGTTTTAAACCTCAAAAATTTAGTCCTGACCTACCAAAATGACTTCTTAACCTTTTTTCAATTTACAAAAAAGTGTTCAAAATGCAGATCAACCTGTAGCAACTGCCACAAATTTGTATGCCAGGTATTTACATAACCCTGCTGATGAATCACAAAGAAAAGTGTATAGAGATGCATTCTCTTACTCACTTCTGAAACACTATTAAAAAAGTGACATTGCAGTATAGCAATGCTAGCTGTATTTCATTGAAAATGCAGCTTATCCCTCTAGATTTGTTCCTTTGGGGGCTGTCACACAATAGAATGCAAGTATGTTCCATGTGAACAAATTTGACTGAATATGGTTGTTTTTAACTAGCATGGGTTTTTTAGCTGTCCCCAGCTTTGCAAAGCAGCATGTCATCTGCTCATATCAAACACTTCCAAATCAAATCCCCAGGCTCCACCATCATTTTTTACAGGACTTTCAGGTTTAGCTATAAGCTTGGCGTCTAAAATCATATATTGTCTTATCATACATGCTAAACTAGCAGCCTGTTTTCCCAGGTGAAGTCCTAGCATCTCCTAAGCAACAGAAAAATAAAGTCACTGGAAATGAAAAGCAAAAAAAAAAGCCAAAACAAACAAAAAAAAAAACCAAGAATGTGTTTTTGATTCTTGTTGGATTCTTTTCAACAAGTTTTCAGTAAAAGAGTGGAATATTTCACTAAATTGGAATGACGAAGTCTGATATTTACAGCTTCATATATGTGTTAATTTAATGGTTACAAAAGCAAAGAAAATGTCCTCTTTGCAAAAAAAAATAAAACACACCTATATTTTCTGCTGTGAGGGCTATTACTCACAAACTCTGTGAGTTATGAAAGGGATTGCTGCAAATTTAGCACATTCATCTGTATAGGAATGAAAGGTAAATAAAAGCAATTGGAGGTAAAACATCCTCTTTTCTCTGTTTTCTAACAAGATCCATCTATTATTAAAGACTGCAATAATTCCTGATAAAAGCAGCTAGTATCATTCAATATTGAAGCCATATAGTTCCACTTTAAATCTGTCAGAAGAAAAGAAAACAACATTTTGTCTTTCATCAAGGTTGTAGTAAATGTTGCTTAAGTAAAGCTCAACTCCCAGTTGATGAGATATCAGGAAAAGTGGAATATTTCAATAAACGAAAAGCACACATTTAAACTTAATTGTTTCTTCTATATGCTTAAAAATTACTTCCAAATCCCAATATTTCTTCTGCTTGCAGTAAAAATGCCTGCACATCCCTTCGGGTTAAAAATCTTATGAGGCCAAGTGGTCTGTTGCCCCTGCTGCCTTCAGTCTCCCCCTGTATAAATACTCACAAGTAGAAACCTTGAAACTGTGTCTCTGGGGTTAGACACTAACTTCAGCCTAGCAAATGGTCCCTGAAGTGGAACATAATGGGAACTGCATGTTGAGAATTCTATTTTAATAACGAAGAGAAAAGTCAGGTTTTACCAGGAGATGGTGCTTTTGTACAAAACATCCTGCAGATGCAAGTGATCTCATTTCTCCCATAGAGATAAAGCACATTCTCAGTATTCACTCTCCTCCGTGCCTGTTTCAGCTTTCCTCTGCCACTACCTGCTCACAAAAATGCACATAAAGAAAATGAACTTAGAATAGTTATATACCTTGCCTTTGAAAAAGTTTTAGCGCAGTTTTAGCATAGCAGTTTCTCTTGATGCTAGGAGCATCCTCTGAGCTGGGCTCTCCTACAATCCTACAATTGTACAAACAGTACAATCCTCTGACATCTTCCACTACTCTTCAGCTTCTCTTTGGTAGCTTATTCAAAAGCATTCTGGATTGAGTTATGAATTCATAGATTTAGACCATAAAATCATATCTAAATCCTTGCCTGGCTGTGGTATTTTATTAATGTCCTAGGACCTGTAATTTCAACTCTATTCTGAAAGGTATAAAACGTACCTGGCCCAAATTTTTGTTTCTGTTTTGCATCTGAAGTCACATGTCAAAATGAACAGCGATAAAAATAGTTGGGTGCATTCAAATTAATTGGATTAATCCCAGCAGAAAGTCCATGCCTCCCCTGTCTCAGCTGGTGCATACACACACACAAGCATTAGTTATAAAGAAACCTGCAGGTGGTTCCAACAGTGCAAAGGCTCGCCTTCCAAAATTTGTTATGACGCTTGAGTCAAAAAAAGAAGAGAGAGAGATTGAAAGCGAGACCTCCTTTCAAACTGAGGGTATGTCCCACTCAAACCAACCACATTTGTTGTGATGCTTTCATCTCTTTGAATTTGTGAATTCTGCCCAGAAAACAGTCCTCGTGCTCCCTGCACGTGCTGGTCCTGCGCGAGCCTTTACACTGGTGTTTTGTGTGAGTGTTTGTGCATATCTGGGGGCTCCATGCCTCCTCCGTCTGTAACTGGGTTTCCTTTCCTCCTACAGAGCTTGCACTAGCACTCATTTATCTCAGAGTACAAATCTCTCCCTGCCTTCTACTCAAAGCCTCAACATCAAGTCAGAACCTGTTTCTCCTCCTAGAGACCGTACCAACACACCCTCAAGATACCCACAGCATATGCACCATGAGGCAGGGAGATCTCCTGTTGACAGTTTGAGCAGCTGTAGCAGTTCATATGATGGAAGTGACCGAGAAGATCACCGGAATGAATTCCACTCCCCCATTGGACTCACCAGACCTTCACCAGATGAAAAGGAAAGCCCCTCTGTCAAGCGCATGTGGCTCTCTGAAGGATGGGCAACATGATAACCTTATTACATTTTTTTTTTCTTGTAGTGCATGTGTGCTATACCTTAATGGAGGAGGGAGGTCAATATGCATTATGTGCCATGTGTGGAAAAAAAGTCAGGTACTCTGTTTTGTAAAAGTACTTTTAAATTGCCTCAGCAATACAGTATAAGGATAAACAGAAATGCTGAGATAAGCTTGGCACCTGAGTTGTACAACAGAACACTTGTATAAAATAGATTTTAAGACTAACTTCTATTCACTGTTGTGCTCCCTTGCAAAATGTATGTTACAATAGATAGTGTCATGTTGCAGGTTCAACGTTATTTACATGTAAATAGACAAAAGGAAAACATTTGCCAGAAATGGCAGATCTTTACTGAGAGAGAAAGCAGCTGTTATGCAACATATAGAAAATGTACAGATGTTTTGACAGACCCAGCAGTTGGGTGGCCATGAATTGATGCTAGAAAGAGACTGGGTCACCTAACATACCGAAAATGCTCACAAACATGCAGGCGTATCATTAGAGTATGGCACTCAGTTAAAAAGGATCAAAACATTTAAAGAGGACCATACTTGTAAAAATGTTGAGTTTGAGGGAAAACATATTTATTTTTTAAAATTCTGGGTCTGCATCACTTCTTAAATAAAAAATATAAGAATATGTACATTAGATTTTGCTTATTTTCATATTAAAAAGACAGTTTGCAAAGCATTTGTGGCTTTTGTAGTTTCTTTAAGCCAAAATGTGTTCTTTTTTCCTTTGCTAATCTTTTTAACAGTCCTGAAGAAAACAGAGGACTTTTTGTATAGAAAGCACTACAAAATATTAAGAATCTGTTAAAAAAATCTGTGAAATTAACATGCTTGTGTATAGCTTTCTAATATATATAATAATTATGGTAATAGCAAAAGTTTTTGTTATCTTAATAGTGGGGAATTATATTTGTGCAGTTGCACATTTAACTATTTTCTTTCAGTTTTTCTTTTACTGGGTATGCATTTTACAGATCGAAGTCAGCTGTTGAAAGACTGATCTGTAAAAAGTTAGAATTTACCCATGGTGTAACAACTTAAATCATTTTAATACAGCATTTTACAATCAGTTGGGTGAACTGCGATCCATTGTATATACTGATTAGTTCTTTCATGCTGTTTTGTGCATTGTAACAAGTTAAGGGCCCTTCTGTTACTTAATGTCCTGCGTATCTTGTAGTTTTCCATGGGTTAAATGACAAAGTGGCATAACTTGGCCCTTTCTCATTAATGAAGCTGGTATTCTGCCTGTCAGAATTGGATGTACAGCTCTAACGGCTGTCAGTTACGTGAGTGCAGGTGAATATTTGTGGAAGCAGTAGGGAGAGTTAAAGGGAGGGATTGGCATGAACATGCCTTTTATAAAGATTACTCCCCTCTCTCACAGATGTAAAACTCTTAGAGAGATCATCAATTAAAGGACCACTCAGAAGTCGATTGATCTTACACAGCCAATATTGGCCATCAGGTCCCTGGTTCTCACGGACCTCTGTGGTCACGTCGTCTCACAGTGGGCACATTGTTGAACAACGCTCCCTGTGTATTGGCACCTGAGCAAGATTTGCTTCAGCATATAGCATCCACGTTTTCTCCTGCCTCATATTGTTCCTTTGACTAAAATAGCTTGACCAGAGGGAATGTATCATCTCTTTAAGTCCCTCTTTGTCCCTCTTGTTTATTAGAAGAAAATGGTATATTCAAATGTTTTGGTTTAACCTTTCTGTTGAAGGGAAAAAGTGTTTAAGCAAAATATTAGTGCCATAGTAAAACTGTACTGTTTCTCCTTTTTCCAAGAGACTTTCCAACTCTCACCTACATACATTGACACTATGATGAAGGATACAGCTGCAACAGCTAAATATCAACACAGAACATTTGGTTAAGGGAAATCCACACTCTATTTCCCACCGATACACGCAGTTGCTGTGCACTGCTCAATGATAGAGTGTACCTCTCTGTAGTAGAGAATGATGAACAGACTACAGTATGCATTAGGACATACGCTTTTCACTTATCATGACTTTATAGATGCCTGCCTTACAGGCACTTTCAGCCGTGCAGGGGCTAGTGCATAATCTGGAAACTCTTTAAGCAGAGTACTGTGCTACTAATGCATCCATCTTATCTTGTGTAGCAATCTGCAGGGTAAAGAAAAAGATACGCATGTTTAAAAAAAACAAAACAAAACAAAAAAAAACACAAAAACACAAAACAAAACAAAAAAAAAGGTAAAATGGGGCCCATAATTAATTTTAAAACACAAAAAAACTGTTTTTGAAACCACTTTCTTCACCTTCAGATGAACCTATACTCATATTCTCTTCTGAGAATTTTAAACTTTGGTGTGTCAAAAATATGCAAATATATCACAAATGTACCTTGTCATTTCAAGAAAAAATACAACTTTATCAGTATTGTAGTAGAAACTTGTCAGTGGGGAAGGGGATTTGGTCTATTGATATATGAAGAATAGCCATATTAATAGTTTACCTTGCGATTTGCCTCAGCAACGCATGAAAAAGGAAAGATATCGTATTTAACGAAGATGCAGTGTAATATATTACTGCAAGTAAATAAGCAGAAAGTAGCGTGAAAAGTATTGCCTGGGCAATTTATATTAACTCTGACAGTGATTTTTGTATAAACACAAGTAGAACAGAATCACGTGAAAATAAATGCCAGTCATCCCTCTTGTTCCTGCTGCAGAGGGCAACTAACTTATACTGGCAAAATTGTGGGGGATAATGCATATTTGCAAACTGATCTAATGATAAGAAGCACAACTTTGATTGTGAAGTCACTTTCTGTAAACTATAACTGTCTACCTTTCTTGTTCCTTTATCTGTACCTTACCATTTATTGTATTTGCAAAGCTAATTTGGGTTTATTGTGTGATTCCTTTGTATTTAAGGAGTTTGGGGCAGAGCCCTGAAAGAGTATTAACATTTACTTTACCTTAACCCATGCTATATAATGTTTTAGGCAACATTCTTAATTGTAAGTTCAAACACCTGAAGTGGCATTCTAGACATCTGCAAGTATTGTTATAGCTAAGCTAACCTCTATTAAAAGGTGTTGTCAGTTAGTGTTTAATTGCTGGTGACAATTATATGATATACCCTATCTGCACAACCTGTATATTGTATGCATTGAGCCATTTCCAGTAAAGCTTTTGTCATTTCAGTGTTTTTCAAAAGTTGTGTTTTATAACAAAATGGCTTATATTTTTCCCAGAAGAGGAATTTAGCAGTTTTTAATGAATAATATAAAAATATCTGTTGTCCTCAGATCTTTTTCAGGTAAAGCTAGCATAAGAATAAAAGAACTCATAGACTGTTTTCAAGGATGTCAACCCTTTTGTATTGTATGTGTTATCCTATATACCCTCTTTTATCTATAGTCCTAACAGAGCTGTTTTGTTTTCCTTCTTCCTTCGCCTTGAAGGTAAATGCTTTGTAATTTTTTAAAAGCCACTTGAAACCTCAATAAAGGCTGTTGCCTAAACATGGCATACTTCATCTGTTCCTGTTTGTGCCATCTGCTGTGATGTCGTCAGTTATATGGCATTAATTTCCTGCCACTACAGGTCTCTTGAAGGACTGATGGAACATTGGTGTCTGTTAGAATGCTTCAGACTGTAGATGTAATAAAAGGCTTTTGTTAATATATTTTAACCAAAGATGTGGAGCAATCCAAGCTTTGAGCCACAGACCTTCTGCATCAAAAGTATCTGTTTGATTATTTTCATAATCAGGTGTTGCATTTCTACCTTCCCTGCTCATACCTCAGACTGATCCGTACCTCAGTTTGATTCAAAAAAGGTCAGTTAAGTAACTCATTTTAAAAAAAATAAAAAATGCAGTACCAGAGTCTTTTGTGGAGTAACTAATATCAGACCTGGGTTACCACAGGCATTACACTTGGATTGCTTCAGATGGTTTGTTGTATCCTTTTTTTCTTTTTTTCTTCTCTTTCATGGGGATTTGCTTCCATAAAACAATGGTGATAACAAAATAGCTTGTAAATGGGAGCATACAAGCATTTGCAACAAATATTAAAGTAGAGGCTCACAGCGGCATAAGCTGGACTTTGTCGCCACTAGATGACAAGATGTTATAACTAAGTTAAACCACATCTGTGTATCTCAAGGGACTTAATTCAGCTGTCTGTAGTGAACAAAAATGGGAAAATTTCAAAAGATTCTCCTGCTGGAAATAAGGTATAATTTGTATTTTGCAGACAAATCAGTAAAGTTACTGGCTTTCTTAGTGATACGGTGTCTGTGGTGCATTTTTTTATTAATTTAAATAATGTTCAGTTTTCACTGTTTTGCACTGTAACACATGAAAGAATCAGCACTTTAACAACTGGCAGTTGTTGCCTCGAGGTCCCTCTGCCTGACACTTGTGCTTGCTTAGAAAGTTCAGCACCTTTTTAAGGCTCCCCGAGCATATTGGTGCCTCACAAGTGTTAATGCCCCACACATCATCCCACTGAGTTAGAGAAACTCCATTACTGCTCTGGAAGTTAGTGTCATTTTGAATGAGGCCATCTGAATCTGGCCCTGATGTCTGAGCCAGCAGAGGAGCTAGGTGAGATAATGCCTGACTTTGAGGTACTTAGTCCCTGACAGGGAATCCATATTCCTGTACATACATGTCCTGCAGTTTCTCCCGGTGCAGAGAACCATGCAATAACCTTACAAAAAAATGCATGTTCTGTGTCAAAATCATATATTGTTGGGTCTATGCTTTATATATATTCTTTAACATGATAACTTCCTAGGGACTGCATCAGAATTAATCTATTCCCTTTTGTGTACTTTTTTGTTGTTATTTAATTTTTTCCCTGCTAACATTTATAGTTTTGGAGTCTAAGAATACAAGGATTACTTTAATTCAACAAGATGGTTTTTCATGCCAGAGGCAGACAAGCTATTAATAACTTAAGGTGCTTGGTGAATGTGGCAATTTCAAAAATAGCATTACAAGGCCTAGTTTCTAAATATGTTTATGAAAGAAAACAGCTATGCTTTTATTTACCTGTTGCTTTAATTGACAATTTTTTTTAAAGAGAAGTGTTTCTAGTATTGCAGTGTTGGACACAGCATAAAAATGAGATGCTAAAACTTAGATTAAATGTCATTGGTTTTGTTACATAATAAGTTTTTCTCAAGTAAATCACTTTTTGTCATCATTGGCAAGGATAAGCAGAATATTTCTGGAAATGCAGTCAAAGTGGAATACTCTCTGAAATCTTAAAGAATTCATATCTGGGAGTACTCGCTCCCGTAATCAGTCATCTGTGTGATTAATATTGGTAATGCTATACCTGCACTGGAAAAGGAATTCCTTAGCAAATAGAGTCTGTTATATACCCTGTTTTCTTATTTATTACTTCAGAAAAAGAACCATACACATACTGATTACTTTGCTTTGGATTCTGTGAACTATATTTTTAAACAATTTTTAAAACTGTGTGTTGCAATAGAAGTGAGGAGATCACCAGTTCTTTAAATAGGCTTTCTCACTTTAGGCTCATATATGTCATTCTGAAAAGCAATTGTACAGTGTGCAGTCTGAGATAACTAAGCCACATACCTTCTCGATCCAAAGTGTTTCCTTTCCCTCCAAAGTTTTTCTTCTTTTTCT